GAATTAAACCACCCACAATGAGTGGTTGTAGCTGTGTGGGCGGGTGAACGACATAGCGCTCTCCACACTAGCAGTTAGGTCAGTGTAACTTATGTCACTCAGGCATGCTCATTCCCTTAGCCAGTGTCATAGAATCATAGAAATGTTGGGCTGGATGAGAGCTCAAGAGGTTATCAAGTCCAGCCCCCTACTCTGAGGCAGGACCAAGTAAAACTAGACCATCCCTGACAAGGGGTTGTCCAACTTGTTCTTAAAAACCTCCAACGACTGGGATTCCACAACCTCCCTTAGAAGCCTCATAGTTCAGGTTTTCTAAACCTTTTATCAGTTTTGTTGCTCTCCAATTTGTCCACCTCCTTTGGTGCCCAGAAATGGACACAGTACTCCATCTGAGGCCTCACGAGCAGGGGCGGTGAGTTATATGGGCCTGTGGTGCCCGGGTTCCAGCAATAATCAGGGCCCGGGGGCCCGGCTCCACCAGTGTTTGGGGCCGGGTCTCTCCTCCGGCCCCGTGCGCCGCGCCCGAGTGTCCTCCAGCCCCCACTTGCTGCCCCCGCGCACCTCCCCTGAGTCCTGGAGCCTCCCCGCCTCTCCCCTGCAGCTCGGCATCAACTGCCAGTGCAGGGTCCCAGTGCCCCCCATCCCCACTAGTGCCAGGGCAGGCTGACCCTGCCCTGCCCCTGCCCTTCCTCCTCGGACCCTTCCGTTTTCCAGCGGGACCCTCTGCCAGCACAAGGGGACCTCCCCGCCCGCAGTCACCGCTCCTGCCCCATGCTGGGCAAGGGGCAGCCACATCCACCACCCACAGTGAGGCTACAGTGAGGGGCAGCAGCAGGGGAGTGTGCTGCCGGGTGGGGGGAAGGGGGACCCCTCCCTCGGAGCTCTCTGTTGATGGCAGGGAGAGGGCAGGGGGGGAGTCCTCCTCTCTGGCCCCAGCACCGGGGCAGCCGGCCGACACCCCAAACTCCTCATCCCTGGCCCTGCCCCACCCCAGAGCCCACACCCCCAGCCAGAGCCCTCACCCCTCACCCCAACTCTCTGCCTGAGCCCCTCCCACACCGCAAACACCTCATCCCCAGCCCCACCCCCCAGCCCTCACCCCAACTCTCTGCCTGAGCCCCTCCCACACCCCAGACCCCTCGTTCCCGGCCCCGCCCCACCCCAGAGCCCCTACCCCCAGCCAGAGCCCTCACCCCAACCCTCTGCCTGAGCCCCTCCCACACCCCAAACCCCTCATCCCCAGCCCCACCCCAGAGCCCTCACATTTTAAAATTCTTTTTAAAAATATATATCGGCTTACAAGGCAGGTGTGGGGAGGTGGGTCTTGGACCTGTTCTGGGAACCACCAAAAATTATACAAACCTGCCACCCCTGCTCACCAGTGCCAAATAGAACAGGACAATTTCCTCCTCTGTCTTACATTCAAGACTCCTGTTACTACACTCGCGAATGATATTAGCCTTTTTTTAAACTGCATCACATTGTTGACTCATATTCAATGTGTGATCAACTATAACCCTCAGCTCCTTTTAGCAGTGCTTCCACCTAGCTAGTTGTTCCCTATTTTGTAGCTGTGCATTTGATTTTTCCTTCCGAACTGTAGTACTTTGCACTTAACGTCCTTGAATTTCCCTTTGTGGATTTCAGACCAATTCTCTAATTTGTCAAGGTCATTTTGAATTCTAATCCTGCCCTGCAAAGTGCTTGCAACAACTCCCAGCTTGGCATCATCTGCAAATGTAATAAGCATACTCTCCACTCCATTGGACACTACCGGACCCAGTACTGGCCTCTGCAGGACCCCACAGGAATCACCTTCCCAGTTTGACACTGAACCATTGATAACAGTCTTGCAATCATTTGTGCACCCACTTATAGGAATTTAATTTAGAACACCTGTCTTTACTTTGCTTATGGGAATGTCATATAGGACTGTGTCAAAATCAAACTATATCACACCTACTCCTTTCCCCCTATCCACTAGACTAGTTGTCAAAGAAGGAAATGAGGTGGGTTTGGCATGATGTTTTCTTGAGAAGTCCATGCTTATTTTTTCTTATAACCCTATTACCCTGTCTGTAACATTATGGCTTTGGAAAGGAACATGCTGAGAAATTATTTACAAATTGGTGTCACAGAAGCCGTTGGGGGAACTTTTCAGAGGCATAAATAGCAGTTGGATGCCCAGCTGCCATTTCTGCCTTTGAAAAATTCCTCCTCTGTGTTTTGGGTCCAATCCTGAAGTCCTTATTGAGTAAATGCACAGGGAAACCTATCACTGGCTTCAACGAGAATTTAGCCTGAAATAGCGGCTGAGAACATCGGGATATGGTGCACTTTGATACTCATTAGCAGCAGGTGACAGGGTGGGGATTAGAATAATAGAATCATAGAATATCAGAGTTGGAAGAGACCTCAGGAGGTCATCTAGTCCAGTGGTTCCCAAACTGGGGTTCGTGAACCCCTGGGGGTTCACGAAATGTTACAGGGGGTTCTCGGGAAAAAATTCCCTAATGGCGGATAGAGCTGTCCTTAGGGACCCCAGGCAGCACGGGACCAGCAGCACGGAGCCCCTGGACTTCCAAGAGCTAAGCAGATCAAAGCAAACATATCTATCACACTGAGGAGATTTAAACTTCAAGACTCCTTATAAGAAATGGAAAGGGAGATGGATATTTTTTGCTGTTTTTAAAATTAAATAGGCAGCTAATCTTGTTTTTAAAATTATTATGAAGAACAAGTTTAAGCTTTGTTGTAACGTGCGTTGTTTGCCTGGACTGCTCAAGACCTGAATGCTTGTGTAGGAAGAACTCTTTGAGTTGGCTTCTTAAATACCTTCATGCTGTTTCATATCTGATACTCCTTGATGAAACATAGGAGCCTTGTCTTATAACAGGCTTATTCAAAGTGATAAGCTATGAAAGTGAGATCTTGGAAGAATGTTGCCCTTTTCATAATCTAATAAAAATACTGTAATGATAAATAGTAATTTATAATAAATAGTGTGTAATAAGCATGTCATAAAAACACATTTTATATTTCCAAGATCACTGCTTTTATAATTTATACTCAGGTAAAGGAGAAAATCCCTGGAAATATTCATTTTTAAGAGGGGGTTTGCGAGACTTGACATTTTAGTGAAAGGGGTTCACAGGTTGTTAAAGTTTGGGAACCACTGATCTAGTCCAATCCCCTGCTCAAAGCAGGACCAATCGCCAACTAAATCATCCCAGCCAGGGCTTTGTCAAGCCGGGCCTTAAAAACCTTCAAGGAAGGAGACTCCACTACCTCCCTAGGTAACGCATTCCAGTGCTTCACCACCCTCCTAGTGAAATAGTGTTTCCTAATATCCAACCTACACCTCCCCCACTGCAACTTGAGACCATTGCTTCTTGTTCAGTCATCTGTCACCACTGAGAACAGCCGAGCTCCATCCTCTTTGGAACCCCCCTTCAGGTAGTTGAAGGCTGCTATAAAATCCCCCCTCACTCTTCTCTTCTGCAGACTAAATAAGCCCAGTTCCCGCAACCGCTCCTCGTAAGTCATGTGCCCCAGCCCCCTAATCATTTTCGTTGTTCTCCACTGGACTCTCTCCGATTTGTCCACATCCCTTCTGTAGTGGAGGGACCAAAACTGGACGCAATACTTCAGGTGTGGCCTCACCAGTGCTGAATAGAGGGGAATAATCACTTCCCTTGATTTGCTGGCAAAGCTCCTACCTATACAGCCCATTATGACGTTAGCCTTCTTGGCAACAAAGGCACACTGTAAACCAGGAACAAATAACATATTCCTGCAAGCCTCAAACATGGGGTGTGTTTTCCTTTTGCAGCTCACTCACTGGTGTGCTTCACCTGTAAGGATGCATCCTCCAACCGGGAGTGTCTGGGATCAACTACGTCAAAGTGATGAAAACTACTGTGTGACCACGTATGTTGGTGCAGGAATTGGTAAGTTTGGGCATGTTCTGCCTATTGTCTTTCCATAGCGCTTTCCCAGATGACATCCTGCCCCAGCTCCAGATCACTGTGTTTTCCTTCCTCCTTCTACTGGAAGGGTGGGACATGGCTGATGTGGAATTGGGGAATCACTCCTTGAAACCGAATGGCAGGAGACATTTTCTGGGACAGGCTAAGGGGGCGGGAGCCCCTGTGCTCATTAGTGAGGTTTGCACATGAGTGAATGACTGAGAGGAGGGCAGTGCAGGCAATGTCAGGCTTCCTGTACGCCAATGGAGGGGCTCCATATCTACCCCTCCAGTGTTGGCTGAAGTCCTGAAATGAGGCTCTTTATAGCCCAGTCCTGCAGCCGCTCCCCAGCCATACGATGGTTTAAGCACCAAACATCTCACGTGCTGGTGCAAGGTTCCACTATCGGCATGTGCAAGTGAGAGAATTTGCACGCTCCAATCCCAGTGCCCGGCTGGTTGTGCCTGCACAAAAGGAGGCCGGGTTGAAGCCTTTTTGGGTATATTGGTGTCTGCTGCTTAATGAGCTGTGCTGTGACCTAATTACTACCAGCTCTTTAAAGCTCTGAAGCTTAATAGCAGGAGACAGGTCTCAGTCACCTCTGTGCTGCATCCCCGCAGCCCCCCCTGAACTCCCAAAGCCCTGTCCCAGCATGCAGTGGGCAGAGTGTGACAATCTGGAATGGATTCTCAGGGTTCTCTTTGGCTGTTCCCACGTCCTGGCCAGGAATCTGAAGGGGATGTTCCCAGATTGTTACATACAGGTCTGTAGTTGCTAGGAAGAGACTAGTGCTGTTTTCATGGAATATAATAGCAGTAGTGACCTCTAAGGGCTGGACATTCACTGGCAGAGCTAAGGCTGTGAGGCTCTTAACTGCTGAGAAATGGCCTCCTCGTCTCAGGATTGCTTAGCTACATCGGTGCAATTATCTCCTTTGCAGAGCTAAGGAGCTCCTGTCCGAACTCTGGGAAACATTTTAATCTTGAGTCTCTTTCTCTTGTTTCTTTTTCCGGTTCAGGTGGAAATTCCGGGCAGAGCATCTCCAAGGGGTGTGCTTCAGTTTGCCCCAGCAGTGGGGTAAACATAGGGATAGCAGCCGCCTCTGTTTCCTGCTGCAGTTCTTTCTTGTGCAAGTGGGGCCAGCAGCGTGGGGCCAGCAGCGTGAAAGTCAGCTACTCGGTGCTCGCTATGGCGATCTTGGCCAGCTTCGTCTATATCAGGGCTGGACTGTGATCGGACCAGGAAAAAAACCTTGATGCCCTGAAGAACCTGCTCAGGCTTCTCCAACGAGACACCAAACCCCCCTCTGTGCAAAGCTCTACTGGGGTTACCAATGGTGCCCTTTCTTCCAAACTCTCTCTCAGATCCCATTAGACAAGACCTGCCCTCTTGCCGTTCACAAGGAAATCCCGCTGCTGTCACTAGGTGCCCCTCTGTGCCTCTCAGCAGATCTGGATTGCTGCTCCCATGGTTTGGGTGCAGGAGGCCTGGGAAGCTCAACTGAAGAGTGCAGCCCCACTGGGGAGATGCCCGCTTGCACTCTTGACCCATCAGGAAATGGTGGATAATGTTGGCAGGGTTTCTGCTTTTATACCCGTAGTCCCAGTTGATGGGGCTGATTAAAAAAAGGTCAGGGCTCACCAGGAAATGTTTATCTCAAACCACCTCCAAAGCGGAATACTTAAACACCCCTGCCTCTTGCTACCACAGAGACATTTCCCATCCACGTCACGCTAGGGATCTGCGCCAGACTGACTGCTGGGAAGGCATGATCCAAAACCAAACCTCAGATACATTCACCCCCGGTTGGATTCTGTTTTTTTACATTGTTTTCTTTATTCTTCTCCTTGGCTAACTTTTCTTATGTAACATGAATGCAGTGCTCACACTGTGAGCATCACAGCTGAATAAATACCTTCCTGTTCTTGCCTGAGCCCAGATGTATTGTGTGTCTCTTTGCTTGCTGAAAAACAGGGTGTGTGAGGTGCCCTGAGCCAAAAGTTCAACTCATGGGTGCAGCACAACTGCTCCTTAGGACAGCTGCTCTGTGGTGCTCAGCAGCGCCGTCTCTCTCGTCACTTTTCATCCTAACACAGACCTTTACCTCCCATGCCTGCCCCCATCCCCCCTCCAGGATGGGCCCTGAGGACCGAACACTTGAGTTGATTATTCACCTGTTCTCCCAGCTGTGCTACCTGTAACTTGTCCCACAGACCAGATTCTGCCTTGTATTGTTTTACTCCCTAAAAGCCCTTTCGGATTCAGTCCCTATGACTGAGGCTGGACAGGATGAAGCGTGAGTCTGGTCTACCATAGACGTGTCATATGGGACTGGAGCAAACACTATGGGAGCAAAACCGCTGCGAGGTCAGTCTGTACGTTAGATATTAGCGTCTCTCCGATTCCTGCCTTCCATCATCAGTGAGTGGTGACGGAAAACCCTGCGGCTATATTTAAAACCAGCCATAATGAGCAATCTCCTTTAACCCCTAGTCGTCAAGGCGAGCCCTTACTTTGTTTTCCCCTCACCCAGGGTAGTGGCAAGTCCAAACAGCCTGTTAAATGCTAAAGAGCACCCCCTAGTGGAGGGTGTCATTTATTAACAGAAAAGCCCATCAAAAAAACATTCACCCCAACATCCTGGCGGGTGACGAGTTCATCTCAGTCCATGTCCCCCAATTGAGTCCCATGTTCCCCTCTACCCAGGCTCTTCCCCTGGGGTTCCCTTGGTGCCAGTCTCTGCCCTGAGGTTGTGCCTCTTGCCCCTGCTGGAGTAACATCCTTCTCTGGAGCCTGGAGGGTCGGGGAAGTCCCTCCACTGTGACCCTTCTCCAGGGAAAGCAGGTGATCCAGGTGAGGCCGGGCTTCCAGCCTGTGTCTGGGCGACCACTGGCTGGGACCAGGTCCTTTTGGGTGCCTGCAGACTGCAGTCCTCTATCTAGGAGTTGCCCATCTCCATGAGCTCCTCTTAGAGCAGTGGTTCCCAAACTGGGGTTCGTGAACCCCTGGGGGTTCGCAAAGTGTTATAGGGGGTTCTTGGGGAAAAATTCACTAATGGTGGACAGAGCTGTCCCTAGGGACCCCAGGTAGCACGGGGCCAGCAGCCTGGAGCCCCTGGATTTCCAAGAGCTAAGCAGATCAAAGCAAGCATATCTATCACACTGAGGAGATTTAAACTTCAAGACTCCTTAGAAGAAATGTAAAGGGAGGTGGATCTTTTTTGCTGTTTTTAAAATTAAATAGGCAGGTAGTATTGTTTTTAAAATGATGATGAAGAACAAGTTTAAGCTTTGTTGTAACGTGCGTTGTTTGCCTGGACTGCTCAAGACCTGAATGCTTGTGTAGGAGGAACTCTTTGAGTTGGCTTCTTTCATACCTTCATGCTGTTTCCCATCTGATACTCCTTGATGAAACATAGGAGCCGTCTTATAACTGGCTTATTCAAAGTGATACAAGCTACGAAAGCGAGATCTTGGAAGAGTGTTGCCATTTTCATAATGTAATAAAAATACTTTAATGATAAATAATAATGAATAATAAATAGTGTGTAATAAGCATGTCATAAAAACAAATTTTATATCTCCAAGATCACTGCTTTTATAATTTATACTCAGGTAAAGGAGAAAATCCCTGGAAATATTCATTTTTAGGAGGGGGTTGGCGAGACCCAATGTCTGATAGGCTCGCTGTCCCGATGGGTTCCCCAGAGAGCCCTGCTCAGCCCTCTGGCTCAGGTTTCTCCTGCGAGCTGCCCTCCGCTCCACAGGAGCCTCCCATCTCCCTTTGGTGCTACCTTCTAACTGAGCATGGGTAACCTTTATTAATCAGCCACCCAGGGCAGCCGATTACCTCCACTAGGGCTAGAAACTTACTTTTTCTTTAAGGATGTAGGCTGAAATCATCACATATCCACCTGACTCCAGGAGCTGGGGCTTTAAGGAAAACAATAATTATCATGAGACTCATGAGAGTTGGCAATGCTGAGTTCCTCAGGGAACTGATGGACAGCATCCCCTGGGAGAATAACATGAGAGGGAAAGGAGTCCAGGAGAGCTGGCTGTATTTTAAAGAATCCTTATTGAGGTTGCAGGAAAAAAAGCATCCCAATGTGTAGAAAGAACAGTAAATATGGCAGGCGACCAGCTTGGCTTAACAGTGAAATCCTTGCTGACCTTAAACGCAAAAAAGAAGCTTACAAGAAGTGGAAGATTGGACAAATGACCAGGGAGGAGTATAAAAATATTGCTCAGGCATGCAGGAGTGAAATCAGGAAGGCCAAATCACACTTGGAGTTGCAGCTAGCAAGAGATGTTAAGAGTAACAAGAAAGGTTTCTTCAGGTATGTTAGCAACAAGAAGAAAGTCAAGGAAAGTGTGGGCCCCTTACTGAATGAGGGAGGCAACCTAGTGACCGAGGCTGTGGAAAAAGCTAATGTACTCCAGTGCCGTAACAAGGGCGAGGCGAGTGAGGCACACAAAGTCGGGAGAGGGAGGGGGCGCAGAAAGCAGTGGAGAAAAAAAAAAGGAGCAGACAGTCCCTGTCTCTCCCCTGCAGCAACTGCTGCCGCCGGGTCCTAGCACCCCCCATCTCAACTGCCAGGGCAGACTGACTCTGAGCCTGCCCTTCCCCCTCAGACCCTTTCATTTCCCAAAGGGACCCTCCAGCAGCACAGGCCTCCCCCCCCGCCCCCGTCCACAGTCACCGCTCCTGCCCCATGCGGGGCAAGGAGGCAGCCCCATCCCTCACCCCCAGGGAGGCTACAGTCAGGGGCAAGAGCAGGGGAGGAGGTGCACGCAGCACCCCGCCGGCACCCACCACGGGGGAGACGAGGGAGATTCCTGGACGTGAGAGGGGCCCTAGGAGCACATGCAGTGACAGTGGTGGGGGTGAGTGTGCTGCTGGGGGGGTGGGAAAGGGGGGCTCCTCCCCCAGAGCTCGCTGCTGCCGGCAGGGAAAGGGCTGGGGGGAGTCCTCCTCTCTGGCCCGTCCCAGAGCAGCCTGCCTGCACCCCAGGCTCATCCCCAGCCCTGCCCCACCCCAGAGCCCACACCCCAGTCAGAGCTTTCATCCCCTACCGCACCCTCAACCCTCTGCCCAAGCCCTGAGCCCCTCCAGCACCCCAAACCCCTTATCCCCAGTCCCAGGCAGAGCCCTCACCCCCACACCCCAACCCTCTGCCCCAGCCCTGAGCCCCTCCCACACCCCAAACCTACCATTCCCAGCCCCAGCCAGAGCCCTCACCCCCCACACTCCTACTCTCGCCCTGAGCCCCTCCCACACTCCAAACCCCTCCTCTGCAGCCACAACACACAGCCCTCACCCCTGCACCCCTTCCCTCTGCACCCCTCCTATCCCCAAACTCCCTCCCCGAACCTGCACCCCCTCCCTCCGCACCCCCTCCCATTCCCAAACTCCCTCCCAGAGCCTGCACCCCAATCCCTTGCCCCAGCCTAGGACCTGCACCTCAGACCTCCTCCCTCACCCAAACTCCCTCCCAGAGCCTTGGGCGGGTGAGGGGATGGAGTTTGGGCGGGGGTGTGTTCTGGGCACCACCAACATTTCTACAAACTTGCCACCCCTGATCCTGCCCTGCAAACCTGAACTCCCAGCATTCTCAGGACACATGCTGATCCCTAGTGGCCACTCCTGATATCCAGCACCTCCCTCCTCTCTTCACCTGTGAGTCCCTCTCTGGATTGGAACTGGACTGGAACCAAAGACTGTCTTGGAAGCAACATTACCAGCCCAAGCAGTCAACAATTATGAGTTAGACCCCCCAAAATCACAGGCTCTATCGCTGCCGCTTCATTGGAGAGTCCCAAGGGTCGGTCCTGGGGCTGGTTTTGTTCAATATCTTCATTAATGATCTGGAAGATGGCGTGGACTGCACCCTCAGCAAGTTTGCAGATGACACAAAACTGGGAGGAGTGGTAGATACACTGGTAGGGATAGGATACAGAGGGACCTAGACAAAATAGAGGATTGGGCCAAAAGAAACCTGATGAGGTTCAACAAGGACAAGTGCGGAGTCCTGCACTTAGGACGGAAGAATCCCATGCACCGCTACAGGCTGGGGACCGTGTGGCTAGGAAGCAGTTCTGCAGAAAAGGACCTAGGGGTTACAGTGGACGAGAAGCTGGATATGAGTCGACAGTGTGCCTTTTTCGCCAAGAAGGCTAACGGTATTTTGGGCTGTATAAGTAGGGGCATTGCCAGCAGATCGAGGGACGTGATCATTCCCCTCTATTCGACATTGGTGAGGCCTCATCTGGAGTACTGTGTCCAATTTTGGGCACCACACTACAAGAAGGATGTGGAAAAATTGGAAAGAGTCCAGCGGAGGGCAACAAAAATCATTAGGGGGCTTGAGCACATGACTTATGAGGAGAGGCTGAGGGAACTGGGATTGTTTAGTCTGCAGAAGAGAAGAATGAGGGGGGATTTGATAGCTGCTTTCAACTACCTGAAAGTGGGTTCCAAAGAGGATGGATCTAGACTGTTCTCAGTGGTACCAGATGATAGAAGAAGGAGTAATGGTCTCAAGTTGCAGTGGGGGAGGTTTAGGTTGGATATTAGGACACACTATTTCACCAGGAGGGTGGTGAAGCACTGGAATGGGTTTTTAAGGTCAGGCTTGACAAAGCCCTGGCTGGGATGATTTAGTTGGGAATTGGTCCTGCTTTGAGCAGGGGGTTGGACTAGATGACCTCCTGAGGTCCCTTCCAACCCTGATATTCTATGATTCATAGAATTCAAGGCCCAAAAGGGACAGTCTGACCCCCCTCTATAACACAGGCCAGAGAACTCCCTGGAAAAAATTCCTAAGGATTATCTTTTAGAAAAACATCGAACCTTGATTTAAAAATGGCCAGTGATGGAGAATCCACTACGACCCT